GGTTGGATAGTTGCCACCATCAGCTAAGTATCCCCGATGTATCGTTGTTTCCGACATCCGCTTCATAAATCTCGTTAATTTATGTTTTGTTCAAATTTTGGTTGCCGAGAGAAAAAGTTGAACTATTTTGTCGATATTGTTCAGTCGAGCAAAAAGTGGTTCGCTCCATTTAACAAATCTGGTAAATCTAGGCCGGCTACATTTCTTTGTTTTCGACCAACTTGAGCCGATAACCGAAGCTGATGGACTAGCACGAGAATATTTTCGATGGGAATAATCCAGCTTTCGATTATCACTTTGACCGTTTTGCTATTTTTAAGTGGGTTTTATTGGGCAATCTACTGGGCCACTTGAAACGAGCTAAAGGTCAGGAGGAGACACTTGGGATATGAAGCCGTACGAAAAGTAACTCTATAAATAAATATTATGTTTATTTTGCGTATGCACGTTTTGGTAATATAGTTTCTATGCATTGGAAATAAATATAAACTAAAGCGATCCTTAATCCTATTCTGTATAGCTTCAATCTAACACAGCAAAATGGGTTCAATATATTAAAGAACTGTTACTGAGTTTAATACCAATAGTTCAAAAAGTGATTTTATGTTTGAAACGATTGCCCAATTTGTACTTTATGGGAAAACATCTTAAGTCAATGGGATATTTTGTTACAGATTTCGTTTAAATATCAAGCAAATTCTGTATCGAACAGTTACAATCAAAGACATTAATCTAAGGTTACAGATGCAGTAATGCAACTGGAAAAATAATAATTTTCCTTTTTTTGTCAAACAAGGAACATTTTTATTTGGGTGAAAACTTCCAATTCCAAAGTGCTGTTTCATTCCAAAAATGGGGTTTTCAGTTTTATATCTCGTAGTGCAAACACAAAGTCTAAACTTCACAAAAATATTAACAGTTTTTAATACGCACTTAACTATAGAAAAAGTTGTAGAATATTTAAATAATAATTACAAACAATTTGATAAACCCTTTGAAGATATATTTATAAGAAATTGCTAACTTTTGAAGAAATATAACATAAGAGGACCATCGAAGTTTAAGAGTTGATTTCTCCAAAACGGTTAAAGGAATTAAAAATTTTTTAGACCGTACACGTTTTCCTGCATACACCCGAAAACATTGGAACTAAAATTTCAATATATGTGAGATTTCGTTTGCCAGAATATTTGATCTGCACTTCCACAAAGGTATTTAAGACCTTTGTGTAAGTAAGAAGTAAGAATCTCAATTTTCAAACCTGCTAAAATTGATAATATCTGATGAATCATTAGTTGAAAATAATATTCGTAAGGGCCCAAATTAGCCAGCTTTTATTGCGTCTGCTCTTAGTGCAGCAAAAATAAAGAATTAATTTATTCAAATATCGATCTAGCGTTGATGATTAATTAAAAATATTAATCTAGAAATCAGTGTTTACATTTATTGTTGTATTATTTAAAAAAATAAATTAAAGACAAAACCAATCGCAAAGTACTTACTTTTTTAATTTGAGTCTTTCGCAATGTAAATGATTTATATAATCCAAGCTACAGTGGATAGCGCTTGAATGAGCAGGAATATCTTTAATATTGTCAAAACCAGCTTAAGTCAATGGATCAATATATCAATATCAATAGTCGAATAATTAGAATGATAATTTATTAAACGCGATTTTTAAGTATACTAACTCGGGGTGTAATAATAGTTATATACGTAACCCGTAGGATATAAGTATTATCAACACACGCAGGTGAATATTTGCACGACGAGGCTTTAGGCCGAGTCTCAATTACGTAAGTGCGTTAATAATATAATATCCTACGTGCTACGTACAATATTTTATCTACAACCACAACGATTATTATTTTAACGATTATTTGATAAAAAATAATTAGTTTTAAATTTGTATACCGAGCACAGGTAATGAAAATTTGTCATTGTCATCAGAATCATTCTCAAAGTTGAGTTTTAAAATTACACGTTTTATATTGAGTTCAAGCGATGATCTGCCATGTTATATTGAGAACGAAGGTTTTAATGTTGTTTCTGATCTTGTGACAGGGAAGCCACGGAAGAAGTGCCAAGAAGCTTTTATTCGGTAACAGAAATGATGCAGTTGACGAACGATATTCAACTTAACAAGCGAGGAAGAATTATTAGTATATCTTAACGAAGTAAGCAAAAGAGATAAATCCTCATCCCTTTGGTTCTCGGTGTTTTTTGTGTGTGCATCTTTCGTTCACTACACCATTTCCGGTACCGATCAAAAGCTTCTTGGTATTTATTTTTTACACGATTTATCTGGCACAAGATCCGAAACAACATTAAAAGCTTCATTCTCAATATCAGATGGCGGATCATCGCTTGAACTTATATTAAAATGTGCAATTTTAAGACACAACTTTGTCAGTGATCGACAAACTTATTACCGCGCTAGTTCGATAATATATTAAAAGAACTACTAGTGCGGTAATGACATTTGAAGGAGTGCCCACTAATAGTCATTATATAACAATTGAAAAAAAAAATTAAATCTGATTCTCATCTCAAGTTGATACTAAAAGTTGACTGAGATGTACTCATAAAAAAAATCCTTTAGGACTGTACTTGTAATCAATATTATACAAAGGGATTATTTGAAGAAAAAAATGCCTTTTGCATTAAAAAAAGTAAAATTAACTTAAAGCAATAATTGTTCGCCTAATGCTAAACGGTATTTTGGTCATGCACTCTAACAGGAATTGAACCGGAAAGAAACAGCATAGCAGAGCGTTGAATGCGGGTGACAAACGATCCCACATTAAGCCGTTTTCATCCGAACTGCAAATTAAAAAAGTAAATTTAATCGGCCGCTTCTTCGCAACGTGTTTACAAAACCTAAACTTGGTTATATCGAACGCTGAGCCCCCCGGGTCCCGAATGTTTTAAGTGGGCCGCCCTAATTCGCTAAAATAATATTTGGCATGCTGTTCGGGCTTTCGGTTAGGCGAATTGCCTTCTACTTTCTAGCAGTCAGGCCAGGAGCGGCTCGTCGCTTTGAACTATCCAGAAGGGGGCTCGACAACTTTCAAAGCTTAGAGCTTTCAACTCAACTGAGCGGAAATAGGTAGCAATGCGTGGGACGAATAAAGTTGACAAATATATGCAGTTGGTGATTTTATTATTATTATTTTTTTGATGCAACTCAAAGGATTTTTAAGCAAATCTTCAAACAACTCAATTTCACCTGAAGGAAGATTGTTCAATTGAATATTTCAGTTGAAACTTTGGGTCATGTTTAACTTTCACGCTTGCAATAATTAATTATATGCCTTTGCAGGTCTCTCAAATGTCATTCTATTCTATCTTTGTAATGGCTGAGGAAAACTAACTTCAATTTGTTTGCACTTGCGTATCGATGTTTCCTTTTATTGCCTTTAATTTAATTACTTTCAGTTTCACTGCGGACGTCTTTGTTGTTATTTGTTTGCTAATCGTTTTTAGTTTCGCATTTGATAGCAAACAATTGTTTTTAGGAAGCATCACAATTTTATAAAACTAAGTCAAGGGCGTATATTTGAGTTTGTTGGTTTGTATTGTGCAGATTTTTTTTGTTCGAGATAGAGTCCGATTTCTTCTTCTTTATGTTTAGTTTTAATTCCATATGGAGATATTAGCAAACTTTCTGGCTATGTCTGTGACGGTCGTGATGATTCCTTGATTTTGACTTGGATGGTGGTTCATCCCAAGAGGCCAGTTGAACATTTTCTAAATACTTCTAAAGCAAATCGTATATGCACTTGTCCAGGCGGTCGCGTTCATGGTTCCATATTATAAACGTGTCATCCACGTACAGATCTTCGACTGAAAGGTTGTTGTTTTCGATGCTGCTTCTTCGAATTTTTCATGCAGAATTTTGCTAAATAGGTTTCCGTTTTTTTTTGGTTCGCAGAACTCTCCATCTTACAAGAACGACTGCTTTTCATACATTACATGAAAAAACTAACATTTTTTATTTGCGTTTGTTCTAGGCTAAGATTTGTAATTTTGCTTTTAAATTGATCCGAGTTTTTGATTCTATGTGCAGCTACATGTTTTGCTCCTTGTTTATGAATTTTATAAAATCTATCATTTAACTTATGAAAAGTCACCTGAATGTCCTCATATTTAACGATTTTCTTTTTGGTGGTTTCCTTTGACGGTGAATAATTTTTCAGGCAGTTTATGTTCCTCAGCTTGGCTTGTGCGGGATCTCTCCGGAAGTCTTTAGCAGCCTCTTCTGAGTGTATTCCGCAGTCGCTGTAGCAGTTTCTGTATTGGCTGGGAGCATGATCAAATTGTTATTTCCCCTAATCAAAGGGATCAGCATGAGTGAGGATTTGATGATCATCTCTACAAAGATTGTGTAGAAAGATGTGGAGGCTTCCAGACGGATTTTATTTGTTGGTTGTTCTGGAGCTCTGTAGTTCGGTAACAGAAATTAACATCAGCATCATCAAGTGTGAGAATGGGAATAAAAAAAAGTAACGATTACGAATTGAAATTTTATTATTGGTAGTCCCATTCCATCTCGACAACATATTGTTGGGCAAGCCAAAACTTAATAAAACATCAAACGTAGTGAAAAATCAATATGAGAATGGCTAAGCAAGGCAAACTAGTTAATTAAAAACCTAGAAAAATTAATAAAATTAAATGGACGGACGGAGTTTGAAAATGGGTGCAATAAAATGAAATAAAGTTAAGTGACTTTATTGTTTTGGTGTATATTTAAAGGCAGTTCTCAGACCATAACGAGAAAAGTGGGACTTGGAATATTAAATACATAAAGAATACTTCTAAAAAGATTTTAATTGCTGTTTTCCATTCTATTTAATTAATTAAATTGCGTAAGGTAGACCTTAAGAAAGTGAAAAAAATGCATGTTAATTTAAGGCAAAGCCGAAATACTTGCTCTTTCTGTTTTATTTTAACCCGAATTAAATTAATTGAATATAATTTATTTTAATTAATTGCAGAGCGACAGCCTAGCGAAATCTGAACCTTCGTCAAAGGATATGACAGCATCAGTTAATACGGTAAGTAACATGTTTCAGTGCAAAACCATCAAGGTTTAGTGGTTATTTTCCTCCAAAAGCCGGGCATTTTTTAAACCCCATTATCATTAGTATCTCTCGAACTCTGGTCGATTAGGCGATAAAAAATGTGAAGTTCAACTTTAAACATTTACGCTAAATCTATTAGTTTGCTCGTAGAATGCAGTCCATTGTGAAACAAATTAGGTATGCCTATTATGCGCAACAAAATGATGACGCATAATAATTATTTGCGCGGTTGAGCTTCGCAATTTCGATGCACAGAATAAACATTAGCGTTAATTTGCAACTGCAAATTGTACATGTATGTACTAGATAATGTTCAAACAACTAACAGTTCAAAGGTGGGTACCGAAAATATATAAATTGAAATTCCCGGCAAAACCTGACGTTTGCAAATTTTCTCTGTGGAATTTGTTCCGCTCTAATTCCGACTCGAATTTTAGTTTAGCTGGGGTAACTGTAAATAAGTGGATTTATTCTACGAGTTTAAGTGTTATTTGGGAATGCAAACATACCAACAGAATCGATCAGTTCCATCAAATATTTGCTTTTCATACCGATGGAATAAGTGCACTTCTGAAAGGAGCACTTCATGCAAATTGAAACACTGTGTTTTATTTGTTCCAACTGAGGCAAAACAGCCAAAATAAAAATATGAAACATACGAAATGCAAACAAAGCCAGCCAGCCCGCAATTGTGGAAGTGGAATCAAACTGGAATCTTTTTCAATTAAATTATTACATCCTGTCATATGAAAGAGAAACAATGTGGGACATTTATTTTCAACTCGCTTGAGGTTTGCAGTTTCTATTAGTGTATAAAACGTTGTATTGTAATTTGTTTGCGATGACAAATTTTACATTGCCAGACATTTTGTTTTATGAGATTAGACATTTTCTGCTCAGTTGCTCCGGCCGCAGATGGTTGGAAAGTTTTCGGAAACCTTGGACGCTTCTGCAAGCAAGGATTATTGTGCTTGAAGTCGATTTTCCATACTGTTTAAACCATCAATTAATTGTTTGCTTTTTGTTTAATTCAAATTCTTAATAGGGATATTAGTCGTTAACTTTCTTCATTTTAATACGAGTTAAGGTTCCTATAATACACTCTTGTTTGTTTGTACACTGTTTGTACACACATGTTTGTGATATGTTTGTCGTATTGTGTTTCACGATATTCATGCACTCAACTCTACTTTCATTTTCAATGTCTCCATTTTTTTACACTTTTAGTCATTGACTCTCATTTTAAGTTAGTTTTTATTTCGTTTATTTCGCATATTTTGATCTGTTATGATGGGAGTTCTTAAAAATTATTTTATTACTTTTGCCATGTTGTCTCGCCTTCGCAATCCTCTCTACTCGACCAGTTATAACTGCACATGTGATTTTTTATCCAATGTAATAGCACATGTGATTATTTATTATTTATTTATATTTTGTTGAGTTTGATAGACCATTACAAGTCTTCTACATGAAGTGCTGCATAATTTGATTAGTGTTGTTTAATCGACGGACAACAAACTGAATTTTTATGTATTTTTGAACGGATTCTCTCCCCTTGAACCGTGGCTTTCCGCACGAAATAATTCATAACGTAATAATCGTTTCTATAATTTTGGCTGGTTCCAAAATCACTTAAGAATCCGGCTAATCCAAATCCGGGCCTGTTTAAACTTGCATAACAATAAAGAACCCCAATTTCAGCCGATGAGCGGCGCGTAACGCTCATTATGCCCTCTGAATTATTAACTCCAGTTTCAACGCGGCGGTAAGGCCGTGATGAAAGGTAAATCAAATACATCAGCAATTACGGTTATTACACATCCCTAATCACAAACTGCTCTTAAAAGTTGTCTAAGGATCTTGGGAATAATTGATGAGCAAAGTCCGGAAACATACATTAGGCGCCCTTATACGTTTTAGGGCTTTTAAGGCTTACTTAGGAGATCAGCAATTAGGTCGTAAGGTTGAAAAATGCACGAGATGGAAGTAATGAGTTTACATTAAGAGTGAGTGGAATGATGAAGTACCGAAGATAAGTACATGTTAAATTAATCGGAATTTGCAAAGTTTAAAACAAAGAATCATTTGTGCGCTGAACAGTCGTACTTCATATTCAAGTTATACTCAAAGAAGTTCATAAGAAACCCGTAGAGTTTATTAAAACAGTTGGTATAGATTTTGGTAACGGACAGGGTCCGTGAGTTGATTCTAAAAACATAGCGATAAATATTTCCGGACGAGCGGTGCTTTATCGGAAGAGGAGCTGTTTTTAAATCTCATTTATTTTGCGGGATTTCCAGAATATTTATACCTAGATCAGGTGGAATCGTAAAAAGCAAAAAGCAGAAAAGGGCGACCGTCATAAATTGAAGCCAGGTAGTGTGTGATTTTATTTTGCGATTTTTCCTAACAAATTACTGGGCTTAATTTTAGCAAACTAAAAAGTGCTTTGGGAGTGAAGCAAATTCATGAGCTTGCAACATAAAACCGACTTATTGCGGAAAATCATAACTAGAATGTTTCTTATTCCTTTTGTTTCGATTTTACATTTTAATTTTAATTAAAAGATTACTTTTAATATTTTTCTTAATACATAATAGAAATTTTGCTAAGTCTATTCATACGAATGATGAACAGTAATTTACACAGGTTAACAAATCAGTAAAATTTCMTATGCAACATGAAAATATTACTGCTCTAAATAAGAACARAAACCAAATTTAAAAGCAAATTAYACATGATASAGAAGACAGCTGCGTTTAGAATCACACCAAGTACACAAATATCAACATTTCTTCTAAAAGTTATTGTTATTCAGGACTCAGTTTACCTTACAAGAAGTCTGGTCAAACAATGCATAAAATTTTCAATTTAATTCATATTTTCAATGTCTTTCATTCCTTAAAAATTATATTTTGAATGAGAAAAGTTAAAATGTATAAGAATGTGGCACATGTATACAGTTTATTTTGCTTCTGGAAACTCTAACTAGTTCTCACCTTCTACATGAGGACYCCGCATTTATTGTTGATTACACGAAATTTACTACAGTGAAAGTTAAATTAAGAAACTGAAAATTGCCGCAATGTTGAAACAAAGAATCAGAACCAGACRAGGAAGACKATTGAAAAATTTAGCACAATTTTTTTCCGACCGAAACCCTATTTCAAGTGACGGTTCGAAGAGTGMAATGTCTCTACATTTTTATTAACTTTTTTCATTTCAAATTCTTTAACAAACAGATGGAACAGAAAAGCTCAATAAWAGCCTTGCAAAGAATGAAAACTGATGTTATGAAGTGAGGTTACGAAGTAAATTTGCGCAGTTATCGGCTAAATTGCCWGCTTTTGAGTAAAGTCTGCTCTAGTGAGGCATTTTACATCGACATACGTTTGTATACGGGAAGATACGTAACTAKCAAATCCCTTGGTCTCACCTGATTTTACTWTACGTTGTTTTATAAAATAATTCCAAAAYCTTTCTGAGTAAMATACTSCACTAAAASAGTTTCAAAATAGTCCCAATKTATTTTGAGATGTTCACGGTCAGTTCTATGCAGTTGACCGCTCCATATATTGTGTTTTTCAAATTCACTCTCACTCATAGTGGTTAAAAAGTGACAARAAACGGTCATTTAATTCAATGAAAAATAAATAAATGAGAAAGCAAGTCAGCAAAGTCAGTTTGTTCCCGAATTGATACTCCGATGCCGGAGATGAGAAACAGTCGACTTTTATCCTCTTCACATAAAACAAAAGTGTGGAAATAACGTGGAATTACCACCATGGCCGAAAGCAAGCGATAGAGCGATGCGGCAAAAAGGGGGCGAATAGCGAAAATATACACGCAATAAAAGAAAACTGGCACTTTCCATCGTTCCTTTCTCTCCGCATATTGGCCCGAATTATTTTCCTATGCACGATTGTCTCTTTACAATGGAGCATCATTTGCGGAATAGTAACGTCGCGTAGCTCAAACTTTGTTGTCTATTCAAATTTGAGTCCGAATTCTGGCTTGTATCGAATTGAATTTTGAAATGCACAGAATTCTAAACCAGTTGTACAGTTACACAGTCGGTATCGAAAATGACGATTTTTGCAGTACATAAAAGAATATAGGGCTATGTGCAATTAGATATATAGTAGAGCAGAGCCTCCACTTGAATTAAAGCTTTCACTTTCACACATGATTTACAGTCGGATTTTGGAAATTGCAATGCAATAAAAGTGGAGTTATCCAGGTTAGTTATAGTGGTTGGTACAGCCACACATATTGGAAACCTTAGGAGCCGTATAAATTTAAGCAAAACAAAATACAAAGCAAGATAAATCCATAAATAAATCATAGACTAATATTCGAAGCGAGCTCCAATTTGCGGTAGCTTACACGTTGTCCTGTTCTGCGCTTCATCTCCGCAGACTTTGGCATGGTTTTTGCCTGGGGACAGTATTTCATCACGTTCTCATAAATTTCTGTTGTTATATAATCCGCGACGAGAGCTGAAGTTTTCTTTGCACGGTACAAACAAGCGAAATTTGTCAGAGTCGACCCATTTATGTCACAGTTAGCCCGCAGGAGCCGGCTAAACGTTACAAACGGACTGAAAAAGTGATGTCTTCTTTTTTTTTTAAGAGTATCCTTTGTCGTCGGGCCCATAGACATGATTACATTGTATTGACGTTTTTGTCTGGCAATCAAAGAAATTTTCGGGAACAGGCTCGTCGCTATCGGATGGTCAGATATAAAACTCCTGGGCTGCTCGGAAAACTCGCTGCAATTTCCATTTTCTATTCGATCAGAGCATTTCAAAGAATAAGAACATGGGAAGTTGGATCAAGGTGAAGTCATGGTCAGTTTAGCAATGCGCCACTGATTTGATAGTAGAGAATATTTTCTATTTGTGTAGGATGAGTATGCAACGGATATTCACTTGCACGGATGTCAAATTTGCTAAAGACAAAAGGCACACAAAA